GTCTCACTCTGTCGCCCAGGCTGGAGGGCAGTGGCATGATCTTGGCTAACTACAACCTCAGCCTTCTGGGGTCAAGCGATTCTCCTGCCTCAGCCTCCCAAGTAGCTGGGACTGGAGGCCCCCACCACCACGCCTGGCTAATTTTTGTATTTTTAGCAGAGACAGGTTTTTACCATGTTGGCCAAGCTGGTCTCAAACTCCTAACCTTAGGTGATCTGCCTGCCTCTGCCTCCCAAAGTGCTGGGATTACAGACATGGGCCTCCCAGACTGCTCCGTTTTTCCGTGTTTGATGAAGCAGATTTCTAATACTGTATGCATCCTAAAGCTACAAGCTACAGATCCAAGAACCCTAGAGCAGCTCAGTATCAACCAAGAAGCACTTACTGCGTGGTTTTTCTAAGAGTCTCTCATTTTCCTCTTACATATTCATTTTTTTCGATACACTGTCAGCTCATGAAGTTAAAAACTCAGAAACAATGGATTTTGCTTTAAATATATATGAATCTCAAGTCTACTTACAGGTCTTACAGTTAATTTTCCATTTTCTCAACTGGAAAAAATAGAAAATTTTAGTCTCATTAGAAATGTTTGGTTTTTATTTCATCAAGATTATTTAACTATGGTCACTGCTCAAGAATCTAAGCTACCATAGTGCTGGAACTGTTTCATGTTTCTCTTTCTTTTCCTAATGCACTTCATTCAGTAGGATCACAGTAATATTCCTACTAATTTATTAACCCAAATTAGTACTTTAACGTAACCGTCAACTTTGCATTTCTCAAAAGCAAAAGTTTTATTACTTTCCAATAGAAAATCCAGTTAATTCTGGACATATATACATGTTTCCTCTAAAAACGTCTTATGATACTTAAGCAAAGAAATAAGATTTTTGTAATTATGCTATCATTCTGTATTACACACGCTGTAAACTGGGCCACTGTTTTTTTTTTTTTTTTTTTTTTTTTTGTAATCTGGTTTGAATCTATCAGAGATTTTAAAACCTTTACATTCCTATTATGCTAGATTCAAAACAGCACATGACACAGTTTTTCTCTCGTGTGGGTTCCTGGCGATGATAGCGACAGGTCTGTCCGCAGGACGCTGGAGCCAGGCCCGAGCGTCGCTGTCACTCCAGGTCCACAGCCTCTACCGCCAAGGCAAGGGACCCCGCCAGGAAGGGAGATTCGCCCCGCTGCGCCCCTGAGGCGTCCGAGCGAAACCCAGCGGCCCGGCGCCCCGAGACTCGCGGTGAGGAAGGGCTGTCAGGCCAGGCGCACATCACGTGAAGCTACCAGTTCCGGGACCAAAGACGCGCCACGCACGTGGGCTGGACGCCAGCCTGGGACCCCTGGAGCCGCGCGCCCACCGCCCGGGAGCCCGCCCCAGTTTCCACCGGGAAAATTAGCCCCGACCCGGCGTGTGGCAGATTCCACGGCCGCCCGGCGCCCTCCCACAGCCCCGCGCCCAGGCCTCCCCCGCACCGGCGGCGCCCCCTACGGCCGTGGCCGCACTTGCCAAAGGAGGTTTCCATCCCTCAGCCTCCGCCCAGTGCGCCTCAACACAGGAAAAAGAGGATTCCGGGACCGGCAGCCGCGCGCAGCCTCCGTGCACTCACGTCTTCCATCCTGCCCCCCGCCGCCATTTCCTGACGCCAGAGGTCGAAGCACCGGCGACCCCGGCCTCTCCACCTGGGCTGAGACGCCGCTGGCAGAGAAAATAGCCACCTTCTGGGACCTGCCAGGCCCCGCCCTAGACAAACCCTCTCCTGCGTCTGCCCCGCCTCCGGCTGGCCCGCTCCCCGCCCCCTCAGCCCCGATTGGCTGAGGTGGTGGGAGGGGCGTGCCGGCCCAGAGGACCTGGGCTGTGGGCGGTGGCTACCGCCTGCACCACCTCGGGTCTTGGAGATTCTGGCCGCAGGCAGTCCGTTCGCTCTTACCCGGAGACTTGGGCATTAAAGGATGCTTTCCTAGTCCAAGAATTTAACTATTTTCGGGCTCCACTTGCATCTTTTCAGAACATTAACTTTTTTTCGGTCTTGCCTAATTTTTGTTAGCACACACAGCTCTACGCCTAGGTAGAATCAGCGGTAAAATCCTACTCCACCAGCAGAGGGACAGGAGCAGAATAAAGATTCCAGTTTCCATGACATGTTTACAGATTTCAGCAATGGGAAAACAAAGCAGTTTGGAATGTTTACGGCGTTTGTTTATTTGTTTATTAAGACAGAGTCTCGTTCTGTTGCCCACGCTGGAGGGTCCTACCACGGCTAACAGCAGCCTCGAACTCCTGACCTTCTGGCCAGTTCTCCCACCTCAGCTTCTCAAAGTACTGGGATTACAGGCGTGAGCCACTGCGCTGTTGTTTCTTTTCAAATGGCGTTTTAAAAAGAAAAAACTTAAATGAAATTTTCCGAAAAATACATGATTGCAAAAATGTAAGCAAAGAAAGAAAGAAATTTTCTGTTGTTACCAGCTCTCAGAGAGAACCTTGGTATCAGAATATACGCACTTTCAGCCGAGCGTGGTGGCTCACTCCTGCAATCCCAGCACTTTGGGAGGCCGAGGCGGGTGGATCACGAGGTCAGGACTTCAAGACCAGCCTGGCCAACATAGTGAAACCCCGTCTCTACTAAAAATACAAAAAAATTAACTGGTCATGGTGGCACGTGCCTGTAGTCCTAGCTACTGGGGAGGCTGAGGCAGGAGAATCCCTTGAACCCAGGAGGTGGAGGTTGCAGTGAGCCGAGATCGGCCTCCCAAAGTACAGGGATTACCGGCATGAGGCACCACTCCCGACCAGCAATTTTTTTTTTTTTCTCCAGCTTGATATTTTTCAAAATAAAGTCTAAAGGGAAAGATAGGCTAAAGGGCTTGCTTACACTTTAGGGTAGCAATAATCTGTGATTACTCAGTATAAGCCAGAAGAAAGGAGATTGGTGGAGCTGGGGAGTGAGGTTGTCAGGCAAGGAGGTGCACTTTAGTAGGAGACCTTGACTTCCAGGAAAAAGGATGAGTGGGAGAAAAGGATGTTCTCTGGAAAATTAAGAGTGACTCTGCTGAAGGAAGAAGGGGAACACGATCCAGCTTGTCTTACCATTTGGTTTAGACCTTTCCTTGCAAGAATAGGCGCCATTTCATGTTTAGTCTGTCCAGGTGAAAATTAAAGTATATAATTGCCACTAAAAGTCATCCATAGTCTTTCTCAGGGAATATATGCAGAAACAATGGGTTAGGTGTAGGAAAAAGATTAAGTGGGACTCTGTCCAAAATGTACCACTCCCTGCAATGTATTGTTATAGTATTTAAGGCATAGATTATATACAGGAATTAAAACAGTCCTCACAAGGAAACAGTATTAAAATCTTGGCCCATATAATGCTCTAATGACTGGTAAAGCAATTTATATAAGCATAGACCTATAAATAAATTATTTATAATGTATCTGACACTCCATTTTTGTATGACTAAAGATCTTGGTGAATATTCTTGCATTTATTTGCCTACAAGGAATAAGGAAAGGAGTAGAGAAACTGTTTTACTATTGTTGGGGCTAAGAAGATAGTATTGCCCATGCATAGTGGCTCATCCTTGTAATCCCAGCATTTTGGGAGGCTGAGGTGGGCAAATCACCTGACATCGGGGGTTCGAGACAAGTCTGGCCAACATGAGGAAACCCTGTCTCTACTAAAAATACAAAAATTAGCCAGGCATGATGGCATGCGCCTGTAATCCTAGCTACTCAGGAGGCTGAGGCAGGAGAATGGTTTGAACCCAGGATCCGAGATTGCACTGCTGCACTCCAGCCTGGATGACAGAGCAAAACTTAAAAGTTTAAAAATGCAACCAGCCTGGCCAATATGGTAAAACCCTGTCTCTACCAAAAATACAAAAATTAACCAGGTGTGGTGGTGGCAGACGCCTGTAGTTTCAGCCACTCAGGAGGCTGAGGCATGAGAATTGCTTGAACCTGGGAGGTAGAGGATGCAGTGAGCTGAGATTGTGCAACTGCACTTCAGCCTGGGCGACAGCAAGACTCTGTCTCAAAAAAAAAAAAAGAGGATGGATAGCATCACAAAGTATGGTGCTTTTACATTCTAAGTACTTGAAGTGAAGGACACGTTAGCAGGGCCTCCGAAGCAAAGTTTCTCTATGACTTTCCCCTACCCTCCTGTCTCCTGCTCCCCTTTCTCTCCCAAGGCAAGATATGAAAACTAGAATTCCTCTTCTCTAAGGCCTGTCATACAAACTAGAAATATTACTGTAACGTTCCCCTATCTTCCTGCGTAGGAGCTGGCCATAAAGAAATTCCATGACCTACCTTGTCACAAGACCTTTATTCTAGAAAGGGTCCTGCCTTACACCTGGAAGGAAGGAATACCACACAGAGAGGTCATGAATTTTGAACAGACAAGCCTTGCTGACCCTGTTACTAAGCATTACAGTAGATGCTTGTAAATTCTTGTCCCTACTCAGTCAGTTGTCATTTAGATCATTCCCTTTTTGTTCAATCACATTTCTGCACAACTGCCTATTCTTCATTAAACCCAAGCATAAGAATAGACAGCTTTCCCTGAGTCTTTGGGTCTTTATTTCTAAAGGCTCTAGGGTCACTGTTTTTCTCTTGTTAACCTGGCTTTGTCATAGGAGTGTCAGCCATGACCCTGTGATGGGGAGGAACCGTTTACACCTTTATGCCTCTATGCTACCAAACAGTTCACCATTACAAGATTCTGGACTGAAGCCCCATCTTTCCTTCAAGTGTTGTCACTATCAGCATTTTTCCAGGCACTGTGCTCATTCCTGATCACAAATATTGAATTGTTGATAATATATCATTGATTTTTTTCAACGTCAAAATCTGTTCTTTATTCACTATGACTTCTATTATTCAGCCTAGCACACCTGGTAACATGTCATACAAACAATAGGTACTTCATTGATATTTTTGTTGGTTTTAAAGCAGGATCTCTTTAACTACTGATATTGATTTTAATCTGCCTTTTAAATGGATTTATTTAATTTTTTGAATAGAGATGGGGTCTCACTATGTTGCCGAGGCTGGTCTTGCTCTCCTGGGCTCAAGCAATCCTCCCACCTTGCTCTCCCAAAGTGCTGGGATTATAGGCATGAGCCACCATGTCCAGCCTAAATTTATTTTTAATTGATAAATAAAAATTATATATATTTATGATGTTCAGCATGATGTTTCAGTATATGGATACATTGCACAGTGATTGAATCAAGCTAATTAATGTATTCACCACTTACCATACTTACTTTTTTGCTTAGGCTGCCTTTTAAATAAAATTTTAGAATAAGTTGATCCTAGCTAGATATTTCTACAATTCCCTTAGTTTACCCTATACCATTGTCAGAAACGCACATATCCACAATTCTGTCTTTGGATAATGTTTTGTAGCTAAATCTCTCCTAGATACTCAGAGAGATACCACTGAAAAATTCCTTTCAATGAAGAGACAAAAAAAAAAGATCAACAGTTATGTTAGTGTATCAAATTATATTTAGTTTATGTATTTTTTTCTAGAAAAAAGTTTAAGAATATTGTAAGCAATTAGAAACATTCCAGTTTCCATTTATTTGTTTCATAAATGTTTGTATCTTTCAAAGAACCTGTACCACAAATAGAGTCCAGCCTGATCAATATGGTGAAACCCTGCCTCTACTAAAAATACAAAAACTGGCTGGGCATGGTGGCATGTGCCTGTAATCCCAGCTACTCAGGAGACTGAGGTAGGTTGCAATGAGCTGAGCTCGTGCCACTGCACTCCAGCCTCGACGACAGAGTGAGACTTCAACTCAAAAGCAGCAACAAGAAGAAAACCCAGCAGTAGATTTATATCTGTTGATTTATATGTGCTGCAAAAAGAATAGCTGTTAAAAAATTAATTTGTAATTATATATATTTGCTTTTGTATACTTGTGAAAATTTTCTGCAAGAATATATAAAAACTATTAAAGATTATCTCTGCTAAGTAGGACTAAAAATGTAGCAAAATATTTTCTTTTTTTTCTGCACTCTAAGATTGTTACCATGTATGACTTTTCAAACTTCATTTAAAAATTTTAAATTATACACATAATGCACTATTACATAGTAAGCAGTTTGGTGTGTGTACTCCTCTGACTTTTTTCTGTATACTTTTAAAGCATATAGTTTCATGTTAAAAATATTTGATTTTTCTATTACACATACATTTTTCATGGATAAAATTATATAGTTGTTTTTGTATACATATATACAAAATTGTATACATACATACACACATAAAAAATATAGGCGTATTTTTTTAGACAAGGGTTTGCTCTGTCACCCAGGCTGGAATGCAGTGTCATGATCTCGGCTCACTGCAGCCTTAAGCTCCCAGGCTCAAATGATCCTGCCACCTCAGCCTCTTAAGTTGCTGAGACTATAGGAGTGCACCACCAACAAGGTTTCACCAAGTTTCCCAGGCTGATCTCCAATTTCTGGGCTAAGGGCTCTGTT